AGCCTTGAACTGCAATATTAAAGGATTCTATGAGCAAAATACTGAATGATGCAGGAAGCATCAAAAGAGGATGGAAGGAAAACACAGGATCACTATACCAAAAAATAAGTGCTTGATGTTCAAGCATTTCAGGAGGTAGCATATGATCAAGAACTGATGGTACTGAAGGAAGAAGTCCAGTCTGCACTTAGGTGAGTGGCAAAAAACAAGGCTCCAGGAATTGAAAGAATACCCATTGAGATATTTCAACAAATGGATGCAGCTCTGGAGGTGCTCATTCATTTATGACAAGAAATTTGGAAGATAGCTACTTGGCCAACCTACCAAGAAAGATCCACATGTGTATCTATTCAAAAGAAAGATGATCCAATAGAATGTGGAAACTTTGAGCAATTATCATTAATATCATATCCAAGTAAATTTTTGCTCAAGATAATTAAAAAAATTTGCAGCAGGAAACTGTCAGAAATTCAAGCTGGAAATAAAGAGGACGTAGAACTGGGGATGCCACTGCTGATGTCAGATGGATATTGGCTGAAAGCAAAAAATACCAGAAATAAGTTTACCTATGTTTTATTGACTATGTAAAGGCATTCAATTGTGTGGATCATAATAAATTATGGATAATATTGCAAAGAATGGGAATTCTAGAACACATCATTGTGCTCAGAGGAACGTGTACACAGACTAAGAGGCTGTCGTTTGAACAGAGCAGGGGGATACTACATGGTTTAAGATCAGGAATGGTGTGCATCAGGGCTGTATCCTTTCACCATACTTGTTCAATCTGTATGCTGAGCAAATAATCTGAGAAGCTGGACTATATGAAGAAGAGTATGGGCGGAAGACTCATTAACCACCTGTGATATGCAGATGAGACAACCTTGCTTGCTGAAGTGAAGATGACTTGAAGTACTTACTGATGAAGATGAGAGACTACGCCCTTCAGTGTGGATTACACCTCAACATAAAGGAAAAAAAATTCTCACAAGTGGGCCAATTGGCAACGTCATGACAAATGGACCAAAGATTGAAATGGTCAAGGATTTAATTTTGCTTCGATCCACAATGATTGTCCACTTAAGCAGCAGCCATGAAATCACATGACATACTGCACTGGGCAAATATGCTGCAAAAGAACTCTTTAAAGTGTTGAAGAGCAAAGATGTCACTTTGAAGACTAAGGTGTGCCTGACGCAAGCCATGGTTTTCAGTTACCTCATATGCAAGTGAGAGCTGGACCAACGAAGAGGAAGACTGAAGAAGAGTTGCTGCCTTTGAAGTGTGATGTTGGCGAAGAATACTGAAAATGCCATGGACTGCCAGAAGAACAAACAAATCTGTCCTGTAAGAAGTGCAGCCAGAATGCTCCTTGGAAGTGAGAATGGCCAGACTTCATCTCACCTGCTTTGATCATGTTGTCAGAGGGATCAGTTCCAGGAAAAGGATATCATGCTTGACACAGCAGGGGTCAGCATAAAAGGGGAAGACCCTCAATGAGATGGCCTGACACAGTGGCTGTGACAATCATGCATAGCAATAATTTTGGGGATGGCACGGGATTGTGCAGTTTCGTTCTCTTGTATATATGGTCACTATGAGTCGGAACCAACTTGATGGCACCTAACAAGTCAGTGGTGGGCTGGTAAATTGGCTCTCCTAAACAAAAAACAACAAAACTAATCCTAATTTATAGTGATTCCAAGTCCCATGGTGTAAATAATCCCACCATGGCTGACTTAAAGCTAACAATGTGACTTTAGTGAAGGTGAGATTGGAAAGAGACACACACAATCAAGTCTTGGGAGACAGTGCTGGCAGGCTGCAGCCCACCACTGGGATTATTTACTGTTATGGATTAATTTGTGTCCCTCTGAAATATGTATTGTAAATCCTAACCCCTCTATGGCACATAACAACAACAACAACATACCTATGGTTATAATCCCATTTGGGAATGGGTTTTCTTTGTTATGCTAATGGGACAGTATTAGTATAGGGTATGTCTTAAATCAGTCTCTTTTGAGATATAAAACAGATTAAAAAGGCAAGTGAGCAAGCACAGATGGGGGAAGAGCAATGCCAATTCACATGAAGATTGCCTGGGAGCAGAAGCTCAGAAAAGGCAAGGACCTTCCTCCAGAGCTGACAGAGAGGAATAGAGTTCTTCTGGAGCCCGCACCCTGAATATGGCCTTATAGCTTTCTAACTGAGAGGAAATACATTTCTGTTCGTTAAAGCCACCTACCTGTAGTATTTCTGTTATAGCCAGCATTAGATAACTAAGACACTTACCCAATGTAAATAATGCACATATAAGTGTATGTGTATACTATGAATTTACTGTTTATTTATTAAAACATTTATTAATTATTGTTATAAAAGTATTTTTTAATCAACTTAATTCTAAAGTTTAGCTTTGCCCTAAGCCATATTGACTGATGAAATCATGGATTTGATGTGCTAAGTATATATTTTCTAATATTCACTAGAAGAATTACTTAACTATACAAATGAAAAGATGCTTGTTTACGCACTAATTCAAATTCTCCTGTAGCATGGCACAGTTGTAAGGGTGTAAGTTTAAATCTCAGCTCTGCTGCCTGCCAACTGTGAGACCCCAGGCAAGTTAACCTCCCTGTGCCTTTGTGTCTTGTCTTTGACTGAGGTTGTTGTGAAGATAAAATGTAAAGTGTTTAGAAGAGTGCCTGGCACATAGTGAGTGCTTTATAAGGTTTGGTTCTTCTTCTCATTATTATTATGTTGCAGATCATCAGTGGTAAATGTACTATATTTTGGGATATGCTGCATCATTTTCTTTTGCTTCTCTAGAGGGTAGGGGAAAAAACAAACAGCTGCTGTCAAGTCAACTCCAATTCATGGTGACTCCATGTTTGTTAGAATAGACCGTTTGCTCCATAGGGTTTTCAATGGCTGATTTTTTCAGAAGTAGATTGCCAAGTCTTTCTACCAAGGTGCCTCTGGGTAGATTTGAAACTCCAACCACTGGATTAGCAGCAGCTGAGGGCGTTAACTGTTTGCACCACCCAGAGGGGGAAAACACTGCTGATTTCCTTTTCTGTGCCCTCATTGCTTAGGAAGACTTCTGACCTGGCATAATTAATCCATGAACACTGGATGAGTACAGATCAGGGCACCTTTCACGTTATACATAGTCCATTTATTCCCACTTCACAATAAATACGAATCTGTGTTGCAGGAATTATTAGGACAAACAACATTAAACTGCTGCTATTTGACTTTTCTTATGTAACAAAAATGCCATGTGGTTCAAATATAACCTGGTACTAGCACTCACTGCCAGATAAAACTTCTGCAAGTATTTGGATCTTGTCTACTAATCACCTATTCAAGTCTCACTGTTGTAACCTCACCCCTGCTTGGAGACCTATATAAAACCAACCTCAGCCACCAGATCTTTGGGTTAGCCAGTGCCTTCAAGTCGATTCTGACTCCTGGTGATTCCATGTGGTCAGAGCAGGGCTGTGCTCCACCAGGTTTTCAGTGGCTGATTTCTTTAAAGCAGATCACCAGGCCTTTCTTCTGAGGCACCTCTGGGTATACTAGAAACTCCAACCTTTCAGTTAGCAGCTGAGTGGGTTAACTGTTTCTACCATCCAGGGACTCCAGATCATTAGGTTGGGAGCCTAGAATTCCAATTTAAATCACTGTGGAAGGCCAGATCGAGCATTTTACCACCACCATGTGCCCTTTTCCTGCTAGCTGAATGTCTGTTGAGTGCTAGGTATGGTGCTGGGTGTGCCACATATGTTGTCTCATTTAATTTGCCTAGCACCCCCATGAGTTAGGTATTATTATCTTCATTTTACAGATGGAGAAACAGACCCAGATTTTGAGTAGTTTGTTCCCTGTGAACTGAAAGTTCATACTTTGGGGCTTGGGAAAGTAAATTACTTCACTTATCTCCTTACTGCTATTTCCATTCTCCATCATAAGGACTATCTATGTGAAGGAGTCTGAGGTCCCTTGATGAGAAGCATTATATAAATTCTAAGCATAATTATTGATTGTACATTCTTTCATTAAACAAACAAAATATATGCTAATGCTAAGTTCACTCCAATTTTCCATTTTGGCTTCCTTTGAGAAATAAGCCAATAAACCATTACACACTTAGCTTCCTGGGGAAATGAATTTAAATGTTAATATAATTCCTTTCAGAAAAAAACAAATTTTAACAAATAACTATTTGAACAAGGAGGGCACTTAACCACGTTCAGAATTAAGAAACGTTCAGTACAAGACCCTTGGTGGCTGTTGAGATAAGCTCTCTAAATTTAATATTTTGTAATAGACTCACACCTCTTTTGTTAGAAATGGAGAAACGGAATCATTTTCTTTTCCCCTTTATTGCAATATATTTAAATCTCTCCAATTTTATTTTGCTAATAGGCAGGACAAAGTCTGTCTATAAATGTATCCTGATTTATCACAGGTAATCCTACACTCTAGCATTCATATGTAGTACTTAACCTCAATTTAAATGTAAATTTTGGGCAACTTCAAGTGCTTTATCTGTGAACAGTGAGTGCTCTCTTCATTAATGAGGCCTATACTAATCATAAGCGCTTCTGTAAGGTTTTCTTAAAACAATTGCAGAATTGACCCCAAAATGAACAAATTCAGAATTTGTTTTTTAAAAACACTGATACCCTTGTGCAAATTTCTAGCTCACAACTCTACTCCCAAGGCATAAATACAGAGGGAGGGTACTAGGATGATAATAGAATGAAATATACCAGAGAAACAAATGAAAACAAAAGTGAGCTAGTTTTCACCTCAAACAGGACCTCTCTTTTTGATGAAAGAAATCATATCCTCTTCTGAGTAAAATTTCACTATGAAATATTCATGGCTCCCCTCTTTCTAATGACACATGCAATTTAGCACCAACTAATGAATGTAGCACCATCAAAATTCTGATGAAAGAAAAGAAAAGAACAATTTCAAATACTCACAGGTACATCCACATATTTGGAAGCTGCCTTCACCTAGGGAAGAAAAAAGAGGATAGAAGTGAGGCTGGTGTTTGTGTTCAACTGTTCACAACTCAATGCTGTATCACCATCAGAGTCAAAACAATATGCTGGCACACAGAGCTGACCAGGAAAAAACAAAAAGGTACTGAAAAATAAAATCTGTTTGCTATTTTATTTCAAGCCATAGCCATTGGTGCTTTGGAAAGAGAGAGAGTTAGAGAGACGGGGGATGGGGAGAGAGACCGCACAGTTTTATAGATTCAGATTCTCCAGTTGGTGTGGGAACTTTAATTCTCCTCCCTCCCTTTAAAAGGGTAAAACAATGATTCTAGCTAAGCCTAAACTGATCTGTGCTTAATATAGAGAAGCAACTATGGCCATTGTTACCTCCTGTACCTGGGATCTTTGTGTAGTTTGGCAGTAGGTTTATTTTAAATGAAACCCTCAGTTCTCAGTTTCAATGAACTCAACTCCCTTCAAGAGTAGGGGATAAGGTGGGTGAGCATCCTCTACTCCAGGGAGGTGGTGTCTGTCGGCAGGGGTGGGGAGGGTACCAGAAACTTTCAAAACTGTCCCAAGGCTGCTGCTGTGTTTCCCAGTTTTAAATGCTGAAAAACCCAGAAGGAAATTGCAAGAAGTGGTTATAAAATTTACTTTCAGTTTTTTGAGAGGTTGTGTGGTAACATATATTGTTTGACAGCATGGAGTTTGGAGTCAGACCTGGGTTAGAACTCTGGCTCTACGCTTACAAGGTATATGTTCTTGGGCAAGTGACTTCATCTCTCTGAGCATCATGTGCATCATCTGCAAAATGGAGAAATCAGTAATGGCTACTTTAGCAGAGTCGATGTTAGGGTAAATGCATAAGCAAAACTGGGTGAGTTCTGGGTGCAGTGAGAAGTGGATGAAAAGTTGTGTTTATGGAAAAAATTGATGGGAGTATGTCTAATATTCTATATCCACTTTGACTCAGGTCATACATGTTCCTTAAGGGAAAGGTAAGAATGAGGGTCAAAGGGTTTCCAGTCTTACTGGAAACTATAAAGACTATGTACACAAAGCAGTCAGGATGTCTTTTCATGTCTCAAGGAGGCTTCTTCTTGCTATTTGGTTGATATCCATATGAGGAATCACAACTCTCCACTCAAATGTCTTCTAGGAAAGTACCCATGGGGTTGCTTTTCCCTATTGTGGTCTCCTCAAAGCTACTTTTCAAAATGGCAACTCCCAAGGGAGAGAAGCCAGTGAACCAACAAGGTAGGGTAGAAAGAGCCCAGGATTTAGAGTCAAAAGTTCTGTCAGTGCCAGATCTGGTTGACCTTGGGAATTTTGCTTCAAGTTCCTGAGTACTGGTTTCTACCTTTCTAAAACAGGGTGATAGTGCAGTGTAGTTTGCAGGCTTAATAGCCTGAATAAGTGAGAAACATAAGAAAGTGCATCATAAACTTTACAGGGCTGAACACCCAAGGATTAGTTATTGAGATGGAACATACTCCATCTTCTTAGGTCATTCCCAGTACCTAAGAAGGAAGATGGGGCAATCCACTTCCGTAGTGATACTGCCTCGGAAACCCAAGGAGGGGTCGCTATGAGTCGGGTCCGACTCCACGGCACACAACAACAACAACAACAACAAGATGATGCCTAAGGTTCTCCTGTTACTACAGACTGTCTTTTAGATCCCAACACTTTTTCTTTAATATATATATATATTTTATTATTGTGCCTTTAGGTGAAACTTAGTTTCCCATATGATAGTTTGTACATAAACTGTTCCCTTATATTGGTTGCACTCCCCACAATGTGTCAGTATTCTCTTCATTTCTGCCATGGTTTCCTTTCCTCCAAATTAGTCTCCCCCCTTCTGCCTTCTCATGTTTGTTTTTGGGCAAATGTTGTCCTTTTGATCTTGTATAACAGTTTGCTCTAAGGAACACACTCCTCTTGGGTGTTACTGTTTATTTTATGTGCCTGTATATTGTTTGACTGAAAGGTAGTCTTTGGAAATGGCTTCAGTTCCAACTCAGAAGGGTGTCTCAGGGCCATAGTCTCTGGCAATCCCTACACTTTTTCTTTGCAGCATTAACTGCAATTCAGTAATAATCTGTGCCAAGTCTGTCTCCCACAGATCATCAAGAGGGCAAAGGCTGTATCAGTCTTTTCATGGCTGTTTCCCCAGTGATTCATTCACCTGGTATTTGGCTCAGAAGGAGCACCCAGGGAAGACGTTTTGAAGGAAGGCATGAGAAAAAGCTAGTGATCAGTTCAGAATTTCGAATGATTCAAAAATAGGCAGAGGAATGACTAAGTTGAGCAGATAATGTGTTGGTTACTTTGAAGGCCAGCGTTTGTTGTTGTTGTTATGTGCCATCGAGTCGGACCCGACTCATAGTGACCCCTCCTTGGGTTGCTGAGGCTGTATCACTGTGGGAGTAGATTGCCCAACCTTCCTTCTAAGGAGTGGCTGGTGGGTTTGAACCACCAGCCTTCTGGTTAGCAGTCAAATGCCTTAGGCACTATGCTATCAGAGCTCCTGAAGGCCAACATAGTTACATATAAAGCTGACCACCTACAATGACTTGTGGTTTAAGGAAATCACTTTTGGTCCTTAAAGGAATTTGAGGAAAGCTTTCCAGATTTTTTCACAATCAACATTTCTACTAAGTAATTCTCAGCCCTCAAATCTTTCTTCTCAATTCTTGTTCCAGAATTTAGCTGAAGTATGAAGGTGGCTTTTCTTTCTTTAAAATCTCCTTTTACACTAATATTTACATGATGTATTTTACTTTGCAAAGCATTTTTCTCTGCCATTTCTCTGTCAAGTCCCTGGGAAATAAGGGCTATTATTTCCCAAACATATTTGTGCACATTTATAATTGAAAAAACTAAAACACTAAGAATTTTAGGAATTTATTTGCTTCTATTCTGTATCAGAAGCCAGGGAAGCCAGGACTGATATGTAGGTCTTCTGAGCCTACGATCTCCCTTGGAGTTCCTGATATCATCAACAATGGTAGGAAAGTACAAAGAATTCAGGTCTCAGTGGTCAGAGGAGAGACTGGCAGAAAAAAAAAAAAAAATTCTAAGTTGAAAACTGCCTCCTTTGCTCTGTATAGTTGGTGCCTGGCAGTTGGTAGGAGTTTTGCTACAGCTGAAATGATCAACCTTTAAACACGCCTACTCTCCATTTACCACTGACATGCAGTTCCAACCCAGAGAATGACACCAGCCAAATTTTATTCCTTTAAAGGCAGTTTGGGAAGAAGAGGTAAGCTCAATGTCATGAATGAAAACCATCTACTCTCCTACATACCAGCCTTCAGTCTGTTATCTGTTTGATCACTGCTCACTTGCACTTACTCTTCCCATCTCAAAACAACAAAACAAAGAGCTCAAGGTCAGTTGTGGCTCTATGACTATTCAGACACACATAATCACATAATTTTGGCTTTGGCCATTGGAACTTTAAGAAGAAAGTTGATGATGAGGAGGCAGGGGAGCCTGGGATTGTATTCCACAAAGAAAGTGAAAGTGAAGCCATTTTGCTATGCAAAGGAATGTGCTGTGCATTGAATTAGAAGGAGCTCTCATGGTGTAGTGGGTAAGGTGGCAGTTCAAACCCACCAGCTGATCTATGGAAGAAAGATGAAGCAATCTACTTTGGTGAAGATTTACAGCCTTGGAAACCCAATGGTGGTCACTGTGAGTCAGAATTGACTTGATGGCAGTGGGTTTGGTTTGATTTATGCATTGAATTGCCACCCCTAAAATGATATATTGAAGTCCTAACCGTGTAAATGTGGTCCTGTTTGGAAATAGGGTTTTGGAGACATTATCAGTTAGCTTAACATAAACATACTGTAGGGTGGGTCTTAATCCTGTATGACCTTATAAAAGAGGAGACAATACACAGAAACAGGTAGACAGAGGAAGGATGCCACTGGATGCTTCAGCTGTAAACCAAGGAACACTGGAGCTATGAGAGGCTAGAGGAGAGGCATGGTGCAGACCTTCCTCAAAGCCTCAGAAGGAATCAACATGACCCACGCTCTCATCTCAGACTCCCACCTTCCAGAACACTAATATAATACATTTTTGCTATTTAAAGCCATCTACATTATGGTATTTTGTTACAGCAGTCCTAGGGAACTAATAAAGAAGAGCTAAAGGTAAAGAAAATCATAATCTTCATGTAGTTAAGGTGTTTCAATGTATAAGAATTGAACTTGTTTACATTAGTTCCAGAACACAGAATCAGGATGAATGAGTTCAATGGCAAAGATTCCAGAAGAAGGTTCAAAGACCATCACAGTTCAGTCAGCGACTGGCCATCTCTGGTGGTAGAGAGCTCCTTATTAGGAGTTCTGGTAGCATAGTGCCTAAGGCATTTGACTGCTAACCAGAAGGCTGGCAGTTCAAACCCACCAGCCACTCCTGGGAAGGAAGATATGGCGATCTACTTCTGTAGTGATACTGCCTTGGAAACCCAAGGAGGGGTTGCTATGAGTGGGATCCGACTCTACGGCAGTGAGTTTGGTTTTTGGTTGGTTTTAGCAGAGGCTATGTAGGATGCTCTGAATGCGATCTCTTCTCTATGTGAGAGGTTACCTTTAAGGCTACCTCCTGCTCTCTGATTGTCACCTCTTGAGAGGTAGATATGTATAGCAGACAAGTTGAAATATAGCAGAGTGAATATATTGGCAGAACAAGGGCCAGAACTCTGGTCCCTGGAACCCTTTCCAGCAGAATGTCAACCATGCTACCTTTAAGCATCACATTTATTTTAAGTATCTGTACATCTTGTTTGCCAGCTATACAGAGGAATGACCAAATCCTCCCAACCCACTAAGGATCTGGCATTGCTAAGGGCCAGAAAATCCAAGCATGCACCATGCCCCATCTCTGGACTAAATAAACAAGCAAAACCAAACCTGACCCACAGCCATCTAGTTGATTCTGACGCATAATGAGTTTCATAGGCTTTCCAAGGTTGTAGCTCTTTATAGAAGCCT